TTTAATTCTCCATGATATATTTAGATCTATTTTTTCATGCTTTTAATTTTGTAAAATGATTAATAATTTCAGCACTTTAGCTGCTTCTATATGAGATTTAAAAATTCCATCATAGACATCTAATATTTTCCCCGATGACCGTAGAATGTTAAAGAATGTTTATACTAACTAGCGTACACGTCCGCGTTTCTGCTATCTAGTCCCACATACCAGGGTAACAAAACAATTAGTAAGGGTTTCATCAACGCGTTACCAATTGTGTATTTTTATCGTTTGACCTTGTTTTCTAAAACTGAGATAGGTTTAGTTAAAATGTAAACAACGCCACTGCTATTTTTGTTTCGGATCTTTGTTGTGGGGGCGCGGGTTTGTCCATACTACCGCTCAGACGCCCTCGGGCGTGCTGTGCGAAAGCATTGAGTGTCTGTTAATTATCCTCGGTAGTAGTGAGGTTGAATACCTTTCGGCGACCGCCTAGGTGTCAGAGGCGTCGTGGGAGTGACTGTTTACACTACCGTACGTAGCCAGATGTAACCTCTGTCCCTATTGTAGAATACTTGTGTATGCCGAGGGCGTCGAAAGCCGCCACTGTTGCAGTTTGACCATTGAGTCAAGTAGTACCCCTGACACTGCAGGACGCCCAATCTACGGATCTCTTGCACACAGGTAGCTGCAGGGTAACTTGGGAGGGTTACTACTGCTGATGCGCTGCAGGACACCCCTTATTCGATTTCGTAATTGATTTTAGTATCCCGACGTATCCCTTGTGTATAGAGTTCATTAAAACGAATGTAGGCGCCCTAGTGCTCATGTGGGAGCCCAGGGTGCACCGGGTTATACGACCGCCGGGATGCCGGCTGACGCGCCCGTGCAATTTGACCGCTCAATCAAGTAGTAACGCTGAACCGGACACCCAATCAAGATAGCTGCTGTGAAACACTGGGTGGAAAACTGCACCGCCTTACTGCCGAGGTGCCGCCCTCCGAAAAAAAAATGGCTGAATCCTTCACAAAAGTCAGAGTATCTTTCATGCACATTTCAGGAAAAATGTCTGGGGAAAAAAAACACTTCCTTTGGAGTATTCTCAGCGATTTCCCAAAATTTTCTTGGCGATTGGATGAAAACCAAAAACTTATTGTTGAAAGATTTATTAGATAAAAAAATGTAGTGTCATTAAGGTAAATAATATATAGAGTTATTATTACGGATGGACCCTGTTCTCCCCCCCCCCCCCCTCCACTGAATCCCACTACTTGTATAGTAAGAAAGGACTGGGGGCTTTTTTTTGGAACTTTTAATTATTTCTACAATAGAAAATAAACTGAATTTTCATTTTCTTTTTAAAATTATTTGTATAAAACAAATATTAAAATTGCAACGTAAAAAGTTTTATTTTTTTAAGAGGGAAAAGGGCCCCTAATTGCCTTGGGCCCCTATGCCTTGCTTACGCTAGCTTTACGGTAGCTACGCCACTGGATGGAAGCAAAATCAATTTATTTATGAACAAAATTTCCTGCGGCTTTTGAAAATCTTCCTGCGTGGTGTGTGAATGAAATTTTGCACTTGTCGGAAATACCCCTCCCCCAAAAAAAAATATTTTGTAGCCTTCATCGACACTGTATACAAGCACTGTGACGAGGTAAAATGAGACTGTGAGTGATCTCAGTTTACCAAATAATCTCTGATAACACCCTGTGAAGCAACGGACCAAACGGCGTCATCATCTATATATATAATTCTCTTCTTAGAGACGTTAGAAAACACCAAGCTGTAAGCGCGCTCCCTACCACCCCCCACCCCTACATGGTCTGGTGAGCTGTGGTTCACGCTAAATGTTTACAATCGTAGAGCCGGGTTTAGTGACGGTTATTAGGGGAAGATAATTTAGTTTGAAACGAATTAAACTTAGGGGAGGTAACAAAGAGGCGGTTGCTTTCGTATCAGAAAAAAATGCGATAAGGGGTCATCCATAAATGACGCCCTCCCCTCCGTCACACGTCGTCACAAAAAGCCAGACCCCCCTATAATGACGTCACACCTAAGCCTACAACCCCCTCAAAATTGCTGTTGGATTTTTCTTAAAACATCGAAATTTTTCCAAAATCTTGTCAGAACTCTGTCAACTTAGTTTTTTTTTAATCAATTCCTAGTACAATTTATCAAAACCGTTTTCTAGAACGCGAAATAACGGCTAAAACTCGTTTTCTAACATTGCTTTTTTTATAATCCAAAAAAATTTATGTCACACCATCTGAACATCGATTACAAATCGATTATAACAATGGGGTGGTGGTGGTACCATGACGTAAACTTTATTACTTTACAGAAAATAATGCTACATCCAACTGTATTATTAACAGGCTGTAAACATCGTTACAATCACGTCTGCAGTAATTAAAGCATACAAGTACGTGTATGTGGCATATATTTAAATTATAGGCTTATGTAGACTGATACACACACACATACGCACACACACACGCACACACACACATATATATATATATATATATATATATATATATATATATATATATATATATGTATATATATATATATATATATATATATATATATATATATATATATATATATATATATATATATATATGTATATATATATATATATATATATATATATATATATATATATATATATATATATATATATATATATATATACTTTGTTTCTTGGGGGGAAGAGGGTGACACCACGAAGTGCCACACCGGGTGACCCCCGACCTAGCGACGCCACTGTTTTTTGCAATATTCCTGTTCTTTAAGCACTGGTATAAGACTTAGTATTCGTGATACTTTCAGAGCTTACAATCAATATCGTCTAGGTGTTGCTCCGGTTATATATAGCCCTGCCTAAATTACAATGTTAACTCAAACATGTTTGTGTGTCAAATATTAAATAAAAGATAGGGCTCCTACCAGCAACACTTTTACGTGAATCTAAAATTACACTACATATTATATGCCATTCATCGTTACACAAATATGTTTGAATGTGACTAATGTTGGGTTTATGTTTTTAGATTTAGTATTAATATTAATTAATTTGTTAGAATTTTGTAAAAGTCAGATGTTGATCATGTTAGGTTAAAGTACGTTATTTTATCTGCTACAATTTAATTCAGTGTTAAGAATCAGTGTGTTAAAGCCTAATATTGATTATTGTTTTAGGATGTTATATATGTTTTTGCTTAAATTCTGTGTTATCTCATGTTATTGTTCATCACCGTTTTAGTTTATTAACTGGTTGGGATTAGGCATCACTCTACTACCTTCGTGTCAAACGATAGTTTCTATTTCCGTATAACGACATCACGTATTCTTTGTTCCTCTTCACGGATGGCTGGCAATGAATGGGAATTTCCCTGGTTTTATATTACGTTAACATTTTTTTTACCTTATTTATGAGAGTCGGAAATGCTACCGGTGTTATTTTATTTCAACCCTGATGTAATTGAAGACTGTCGTCCTTGGCCCCCACATTAAATAACTCAAAGCCCCCGCCCTCTTCTGCCCACCTACGCAAGTAATAGACCTCGGATTTTGTACCTTTCTTTATTTTGATGCATACTGGTGGGTTAGTGATATATATAACTCAACTACAGGTATAGTATACGTTTCATGGTATAGTATAGTATTAGTATAGTGTTCACTATCATGGTATTGAAAATGCAATGTTGAAATGTAGCTAAATTTAATTATTTTTTTGTTCGTTTTTCAGGCCACTTACGGTAAGGCTCCTCACCCCCCCCCCCATCTCGTAGCACTGTAGATCCACCATTTGTCCTGTGCCACTCTTGCAAACTATCTATTAAGTTAATAAATGTCCACATTAGGCTAAAGTTTTGCGGTAAAGAAACTTTTGTGTGATGTATTACAAAAGAAAACAATTACACTGGTTTTATTCACTTAATTAAATAAAATAATTCATTATATGTAAATTGTTTTACAAAACGGCAGTTTAAGTACTGATTGCATTAAATGCATCCACATTGGATCCATCATTACACTAAACAAAAAACAAAGCGAAGACTATCTTTGTACAAAACCAGGAAACGTAGTTTAATAGTTTCATTTAAAAAAATATTGCAAATATATAGATGACTAATATTGCAAGGAATTAATCATGTCATTACTTTCCGTTGCGTTTTTAAAACTTTATTTCCTTGATTACGAACGTGCGAACTAACAATTAGGGGTGGAAGAAACAGTGGCATCAGAACAGTTTTATTCCAATTTTGAAATATATAACAAACTGCGAGTTGTTTACACAAGAAATAAATATAAATTTAAACATTTAAGAGGGGAATAGGATAGTTGGTTGACCAAGAAAATCCTGGAGCAGGACAGCAGAAGATGAGACAAGGACTTCCAGGCTTACATGGGAGCAAATAAAGAGAGCTGCCAAAATAAGTCCGATGTAGTGGTGTGGTTGCAGCCCTTTACTCCCCAGGGGCAACAAAAGAATGAGTGAGTGAATGAATCAACCTATTTGTCTTGGATCAAATGCTGCTTCGTAACAAATATACCACTGGGCTCTTTTGTAAAATATAAAAATGTACAAATGATTATATGTAAAAAATAATGTTACAATAAATTTGAAGAAATTTGATAATTTGAAGGAAAAACAGAAACTATCGGCGTTTTTTTTTAATGGGACGGGGTGGTCGAATAGTAAAGAGCTTGTCTGCTATCTCGAAGGTCTCGTGTTTGGGTATCGGTTCGTCTTTGGGATTTTAGGATTTCCCTGAGTCCACCCAGCTCTTATGTGTAACTGACTTACGTTGGGGAAAAAAAAGCTGCTAGATATTGTGCTTACATCACTATACCTTCATAGGCCGAGGACACGAAGCATTAACTCTACTTCATCTGCACAGTGGATTTATGTCTACAGATGAATATATACCTTTAATCTACTGTATTACTGTTATAAAAATTCTACAATGCATTAAAATGTAATATATTTAAATGCGGGCACACTTTTAGAACACAACCGATGATGAATTTGAGTCATATTGGATGCAGTCATAAATTTCTTCCTCTGAGGTCTTGTTGACGCTAAGACGTTGTGTATAAATCTGTTGGGGTAGTCCCCCTTTTCTGTAATACTCCTGACTGATGTCACCTGAAAATTTAATCAAATTATATTTCTCTAAGGAGAAATCGATTAGTGTTATATATATATATATATATATATATATATATATATATATATATATATATATATATATATATATATATATATATATATATATATATATATATATATATATATATATATATATATATATATATATATATATAAACTTGTTTTAGTATTGGTATCGACACTGTGTCCGGCTATAAATAGTTACTTATATCATGAAACTAACGTTTCCTCGAAGAAACTACAGTTTAAAATAACGTTTAGAATCTATTGGATGTCCCATAGATGACCATTATTTTTTTCTTTTTATTCTTTATTCATCTGGAGCTTTAAAAATATAGATAACGTTATTACTAAAAAACTATGATTATTTAGGTACAATAATATATTAATAGTACAGCGATATCCCCATAACCTGGATGCTTTCCCTTACACTTGATATATTTCTAAGTTAACATTGAGCAATGCTTCCACGAATGTTTGTAGATCCTGTTCATTACATAGTATAACGGTACCACTACGACAAATGATCCACGTACCTCGACCGTTGTACATAGTAAAATCAGGTTTATCAAATCCTGTGGTGGTGGGGTTGTTGTTGCTTGACCCCACGTCCTCCCTGACATGACGGAGCCGTCGGTACACCACACACCCTACGACAACAATCAGCACCACAAGCACGACAACAACACCCACGCCGATGATGATGTTTACCACGTGACTTGTGGATTCTGGAGCTTAAAATAAAATAACACACGCTAGAGAGCATTTGATTTCGTTAACGTTTCCTCTATAGCTAGATAAAGCTTGAGGCAGCTAATCCGTTCAAAATATAATGCATTTGATTTCATATGAGTTCGATTTATCTCTAGATTAATGCTAAAGATAGCTACCCTTTCAAAATACAATGCATTTGATATCATGTGAGTTTCAGTTATCCCTAGATTATTGCTAAATATAGCTAGCCCTTCTAAAATATGACCGAATTGAGTTCATTTAAGTATCCTGAATTGCTAAATTAGTGCTAGAGATCCCTACCCCTTTCAAATACAGCAAAATATATTTCTGTTTACAAGCGTGTCATGATAACAAATATAATATGAATTCTGCCGTTAAATATTCCCTATAGTCTTCCATATAGCCTGTTATAGATTCCAGCCCCCCCCCCCCCGAGCCTATTCCCCCATTTTACAAGGCGACTGGTGTCTACATGTTGGTATCCTGATTGAGTTACTAACACTAGATTAGGATTAACACAATTGACCAGTATCAGTAGGCCCTAGTGTAAATCCTTACACTAGATAAGGGTTAACACGATTAACTAACTAACAGGAACTGACCAATATCCCAAGGGCCTAATGTAAATCCTAACACTAGATTAGGGTTAACACAATTAACTGCCTTACAGAAGAATTAAACCTTATCACAAGGCTCTAGTGTAAATCCTAACATTAGATAAGGATTAACATAATTAACTAACTTACAGAGGAATAGACCAATATCCTAAGGGTCTAATGTAAATCTAAACACTAGATTAGGATTCACTCATATTGTTGACATTTCTAGTTGTCTCACAAAAAACTAAATAATTAATGACGTCAGATGATGACGTGTTTAAATTACCTTCACTGCAGGTAGGCTCCAGGTAACCATTACGACATCCCAACAGACAGGCGCCTGTAACAAAGTGACAGGTGGTAGACCCTGCAGGTTCGACAGGTTTACAGTTGGGACTGCAGGTTTGTGTACAGGAAGGGCCAAATTTCATCACGTCGCACGTTGTAAACGGTAGACCACCTTTAAAATACATGCAGCGTTTGAGTAATTTTAGGACATTTTTCTAAAGTTACACTTTTCATTTGTCGGTATGTCTGTCTGTGTGTGGGTTTGTGGCAACATTTTGAAACTTAATTTTGACCACGTTTAAAATTAAATCTAGCGAATTCTTTCAAACTTTTTAGAAGTTTGTAACTCAATTGACAAGTCAAAGGTTATTAGTTAAATCATTTAACAAGATTTTTATGAACGATCCCTGCTTTAAGTATTTTATTATAAGAAAAGGAAAACAGTACTTTCTTTTATACGTGTAGTGTATTTTAAAACTTACTATGAAATGCTTATTAAAATGTTTTATTCCTATATTCTGTTGTATTGAAACTACACATTTTACAAACCAGCATGTAGATGTAAAGCATTTGACCAAATGTTAATTTAGTTGAAAGCAATCGGGAATACACTCAAGAATACGTTTAGACCAAATAGCCTATAGAGAAGTGAGTTTAGATTATCTGTCTCTACGATCTCTGTATTTTGAAGCCGTATGTGGTTAGCGCGGCGCTAAATCTGCTTTACCTACCCTGACTTAAGACGGGTCCCTTCACATTTTATAATATAAAAAGCTAAGTCTACTCCCTACTTTTTTTTATATTTTTGAGGTCTCTCATTTTACAAATTTGGCCTAAATCCATTTTAAAATTATTTTCTGATTGTTGTATTTGTGTATATTACACAATGTTAAAGTTGTATGTCAGTTTTTGGTTTAACCTTCCCTTAAGTTATATTGCCCGTACCGTCTAAACACCTGTCACCATGGTAACCATCTGAGCAACCATAGAGACAGGTCCCATTGACGTCACACATTCGGTCACCAGCACAGTTATCGCTGCACTTGAGCTCACAGGTATCACCATAGTACCCAGGGTGACACCTAAAACAGTGTCCTGTGGTTTGGTTACATAACTGATTGCTGCAGTTGTTGCTGCATGGTAGCAAACAGCTGGTGCCGTAATATCCAGGGTCACAAGCTGAAAGTTTACGAGAAAAGCCAAAAACAATTAATGTATTTTAATTATACGTGGGACTATGTTTAACAGTTAGTGCTGTGGGAAGGTAGAAAACACGAGTAAAAATCAAAACGTTATGAGTTCGAATAGAGGTGTGAGGGCATTAAACGTTATTAAGTCCATCCTGCTCAGACTACCTGACTGCCGAAGATACAGGGAAACTCTACTTCATATGCCCTAATGACAGTTGAATCCAAAAGGTTACAGTTACATTTTTTTAAAGAATTTGCTTAGGAAGCAACTAATTAGCAAATATTAAACGGACTTGAAACAATTGTTGAAAATACATATACACGTAAGCTAGCATACCCGTAGACACGTTTTCAGATTAAAAAACTAAAGTAGGCGGCAGATCTACTATTCTCATACGACTTCAGCACCACTTGTGTGTTTTAAAATTTGTGTTAGATTTGAAACAACGAGAATCTATATTAGACGTTAAATATTTCTATTATAAAGTATAATAGATTATGAAATTTATCTTTGAAATAAAAGAACATTTAATCGATTGTTTATCTTTTATTCAAACGATTTCAAATCTAAACAATAATTTATAATTCAATTGTATCTTATACTTGTTATAAATTAACATCTAACTCTATTTTTTTACAGTTAATTATGTAAATAATTAGTGCTGGGATATATATATATATATATATATATATATATATATATATATATATATATATTTGCAATATATTAACAAATTTACGCATGTGAAAAAAGAAAAATAGTTTTGTGGTTAAAAGTAATTTTTATTTCCAGAAACATTTTAGTAATTGAAACCTCTATCCCTTTATGTCATCGAAAGCTACTTTCTTATTAAGTTTCAAATTGATTGTCGACTGATGTTTGCCTGCTTTAAGTTACGAGCTATAAGAGTTAGGGTTATATTAATAACCAAGAACATGCGAGTTAGATATAAAAAAAGATGATAGTTTTATTGATAGGGGACGGAAAAGTAATGAGATTTTAAAAAAATCGCTGATCGCAAAGACACCAAGTTTTGAATTCGTTATTTGAGACAACTCAACTACATATTGATCTCCCCTTGATGTATCACTCAACACTTACTTTCTTTGCAGTCGACACCACGTAAGCCAACAGGACAGCCAGACGGACAGCCTCCGGTGCTGACAAGACAGCTTTCTCCACGGACAGCACAGTTGCAGGTCTGTAGACAGCCGAGACCGTACGTTCCGATCGGACAGACGGTTTCTGTAACAAAGACAATACGGTGAACGGGATACGTTTTAAATGAATGAATTATGGGTACTTTTTTACTTAATTTTAGTGTTGGTAGGGATCCCCCTCCAACACAATTATCTGGTTATGACTCCGATTTCAGCCAGAACAATCTACAAGGCAGTAGTTGTTTGATTTTGATCCTAGAAGAGTGGCTGTCCCCAGCTAACGAGGGTTCGAACTCGAGACTTTCGGTTTAGCAGCCTTGAGTTTTACCGACTCGACCACGCCGACCCCTTAATTATAATATCTTAGAAACGCTGAAACTTAATGTCTCGCTCTATTGATGTTAGTTAAATAAAAATAAAAAATCTATAGTTTACCAGCTGACAGTTAACTTATATCAGTATTAGATGTTGCCTTTATTTCCAACATTTTACAAATATAAGCTATCTATTTCATTGTCAAATTTTTCTTTTACTGCCATTCTTAAAATATTAACAATTTATTTCAATATCACATGTTTTTTTATTACAGATATTTTAAAAGTATTTAGCTATCTATTCGAATGTCCCATATTTCTTTTCTATTATTCTTTTATACATTTCTTTTATTACCAACATTTAAAACATATTAACATTATATTTCTAAATATCTATATATTTAATTCTCTTCTGGGATCAGTTAGAAAACAAGCTGCAAGCGCCTCCTTGCAGTCCCCTCTCTTTCTCTCTATCACTATCACTACCACCCCCACCCCTGCCCCACATTGTCTGGTGAGCTGTGCTCACGCTGTTTACATTTTACAATCATAGAGACGGGTTTGGTGACGGCTATTAGGGGCAGATAATTTAGTTTGAAACGAATTTAAACTTAGAGGAGATAACTAAGAGGAGGCTGCTTTCACTTGGGGGGGGGGGGGGGGAAAGGGGGTTTAGTGTTTTTAAGCAAATATTTTCAGTGGCAGCATTGGTACTGTCGAATTCACAAATTATAAATTACTGAAAAGTAGAAAAAAAACAACTAAATAGCGGCGTATGTTATGCCGCGGGCCGGCTCGTATATCATATTTCTTTTATAACCACTATTCAAAATATTAACACTATATAATACGCCATCTTTTATTACCTGTATTTTAAAAGTATAAACAACCTGTTATACTTTCCACAACATATATTTTGTGCCAGACAAAAAAAAATCCCTCCACCGTAGTCTATTCAGGTCCCGATTGGTTAGGACTCAACAAAAGCTTCAATACATACACCTAGCTGAACGTGTTTACTTACCTGCCGTAGGTCGCTGAAACCGTGTCATGGTTGACTGAGGTTTGTTTCAGGATCTTTCAAATGTATATGGGACAGTTAAGAGGAAGTAGTTTGACCATCAAACATTAAAAACACCCTAATAAGTGCACCACGCATATTACATGTTGACAAGTCTGGGCAACTTGTACATACTCAACGTTTTAAAGTGCATTGTAGAATAATATTGACAACAAGCCGCCTCTCTTTTGTCAAGTGTTAACGATTTGAAAATAACCCACAAATGGGTATTTTTTTGGTTTAGTTAAAATCTGGAGTTAAATGCCTATTATTAGAAAGGACTGTATACAGTACATACATTTTAAAAAATCGTATTTCATTACTTTTAAGATTGCGATGTAACATCAATTATAATATCAAATTCGAGCGAGACTTAATCACGGTCAAATTTATGTTATTTCAGTCAGTTTTTAAATTTCGCTGAATATTTTCAGATTTTTTTTCTAGTTTTAGTAACAAATGTTTGATTATATTGTTTTCTTAATTATTTTTCTCCATTTTGTAAATTTGTTATTTGATGTTTTAAAAACTTACGTGGCAGTCAAAAAAGACAAAAGAATATTGTTTATTCATTTCTTATTTTGATTTTGTAGTGTAAACAATAAAATATGCTACATCGATTCTAGATTAAAATCCTTTTTTGGTACCGAATTCGAATACAGTAAAACAAAATTGAGATGCAAATTAAACATTTCAATTGCGTGAACAAAAACTAATTACCGAAATGTTCATTCGTGATTAATATGTTGTTTTCAGTTTTAATAGACCAACACATTTTTAAAATGCATATAGAAATTATTTCATGGGTTATTTTTTTAAATCCAATATTAGCCTTTCAAAATATAAGAATTTAAGTAATTTACAAATTCTAAATATCGTTTTCCAGCTTAAAATTGATAATTTTTAATACATTTAAAAATATAGATTACTTAAAGGCAAAACGGATATTTTTCATGTACACCATTAACATCAACAATGTAAACAGTGGGTCGCTGTTCCAAGCACGCAGGTCATATTTGTAAAGTTAGAACTACGTGGGGTATAATTGGTCTAGCGAGTTGATTCATTGCTAGATCCTTGTTTTTACCTGGTATTTACCTTCTCGCGTTATGGTCGAATGAAGGCATTAAGTCTTAAGACTAAACACGCACATGCATATATATATATATATATATATATATATATATATATATATATATATATATATATATATATATATATATATATATATATATATATATATATATATAAAATAAACATTTATATATATATATTTGTATATATAAATACGTATATATATATATATATATATATGTAAGCATATACACACACACACACACATATATATATATATATATATATATATATATATATATATATATATATATATATATATATATATATATCGTATACCCGTAGACCTCCCCTCCATTAGTACTAGCCCGCATCCTTCCTCCCCTCCCCACTGAACCCCTCACCTCCGAACAGTTCCACCTCCTGTAGAATGATGAACGTGCCGTCAGTCGTGTTGTCGTCACTGATGATGACAGTCTTTATGGGCTCGAATATTTCTCCCGTGTAGATTGAGAGGGTTTTAATGAAAGCCTTCTCCCCCCTGCCCGCCACTGTATGCAAACCTTCAGAGTTGTAGGCCGTGAAGTTTATCCAAAGCTGGATGTACGTGGCTGGTCAAACAAACACAAGTTAAGCTCTGGACATCAGTCAATTCAAAACTGTTTCATGTCTCGTCTGAAGTCATAAGTCACGAGTCTCAATTCTCAAGTCTCAAGTCTCAAGTCTCAAGACTCAAGTCTCAAGTCACGATTCTCAAGTATCAATTCTCAAGTCTCAAGACGCTTGTTTATGGGTCGGAGTGGTCTAGCGGTAGATAGCTGGTCTGCTAACCCGTAAGTCTTGAGTTCGAATCCGGGTTTAAGCCAGTAGACCGTACCTGAGTCCACTCAACTCTGATGGGTACCTAACTCTTGTTAGGGAAAGTATAGGGGACAAAACACTGGGCATAGTGCTGAGGTTACAGAAACACGTGAACTCTACTTCACTTGCCCTAAAGACCGTCATGTTTGAAAGGGAACTTTGCTTACTTTAGTAAGTCAAGTGTTAAGTCACAACTCAAGTCATTAAGTCGAGTTGCAAATTAAGTCAGTCGCCCTAAGTCAAGTCTCACGTGACTTTAAAGTTCAGTAAAATCGTGCCACTGATGTCTTAGAATCTTCCCAGGCATACTACTCTGTCTTCACACTACAGCCCTGCACATTCGTCTTGTATCTACTCCATATCTAACACTGCTATAGAAAACTACATACTGCTGCCGTTGGCATAAAGCCCGGAGTGGAAGACGAATCTGTAGACAAAGGCGGGCAGTGAGAGTGTGAGAACCATTGATGGACTGGTGGTGTTGACCCCAGTGAAAGCACAGCCGCCGAACTTGCAGTTGGAGCTGTAGGCACCGTCCACTGCGTTACTGCCGTTAAACATGGTGTCATTGTTGAATAAACTTGACATCGTAACTTGTTGTTTTAGTGCCAAGTTACGTCCTGTAATGATATACGAATTGAACGGTTGTCAGAGGCGTAGCGGGGGGGGGGGGTACATATGTTTCCGGAGGGCTGACCTTAGGGGGCGCCAAAATGGTTTGGAAAAACAAAATTGAACGTTTGATGGGGGGGGGGGGGGGTGCAAATTGAAAGTTGAAAGGTTGTTCCCGAGGGGGGCGCCAAATTGGTAGTTTGTCCCCGGGCGCCGGGAAGGGTTGCTAGCCTCTGACGGTTGTTCTCATGATTAATACAACAAGTATAGGTTTACATTACTGGATGTAATTAAAATCAATGTTGAATTAAATGTGACATTAAAATATCGTGTTATAATTGATACACATTAAAAAAATCGTCTAGTTCTTATGAAATGATTTACGATTTTTAACAGTATAGAAGGATTGGCGTGATTGAGCAGTTAAGGCTTATAGTTGCTGAACTAAAAAAAGCCCAGTTCGAACCCCTGGGAAGATGAGGGTCATAGATGGGGAGAGCTACCCATATAGGAGAGTAAAATTCCTAGTTCAGGCAACTGTAATTTGTTTTTAGATGGAAGCAAATTTGAAAAGAAAAGCAATCTAAAATCGGAGTGGTCGAACTATATGGCGCATTACCAGTTAACACGGAATACTTAAAAATTGCGTTGGAGGGAATCCAGCTTAAGTTTACTAATAGAACAGGGTTTACAGTAAAAACAAGTTAATAAAAAGTCTAGTTACAATTTAAGCGCAATTTACTTAATTAATTTTTTGTGACCGAACGAAAGGATATTTTTGAAAACTTTCTTCGGCAATATTGTTTTAAATTATAGCGGGAATCGATTGGTAAATGTTTCAAGCCGCTAAATGGTCTGGTTGCCGAGATATGGGCCAAAAACTGCTTTTTTTTCGAGGTTTTTTGGCTTTTCCGGGAAATCCAGGAAGGAATTCCGGGAATGTTTTTGGCCCACAATCATCCCCGGAACTTGCTTAACATATTTGCTTTTGGAACTAGTCCTCGATACTGCTTCGTTGAGGAGGAGATACGACTTAAAGCTGCGGACACACATCCATCCATTGCGGACACACATCCATCAATCCAGAAATAACGAATTAATAATCGCAATTGTCAGCATGGAAATTGCGCTAAAAAGTTTATCATTTCACGTTCAGACTCAAGTCAAAAGCTTTAATCCACACATTTGTACATAGATTCATAATGTAATCTTTTAATTCCCTTCATCTTCAGACATTTGTAGACATTTTGAACCCCTTAATCTCTAGATGCACGTAGACATCAATGAACTTTTAACCCTCTCACTTCTAGATACCACAAGACATCAATATTAACCCTCTCACCTCTAGATAAAAGTAGACATCAATGTTAACCCTCTCACCTCTAGATAACAGTAAACATCAATATTAACCCTCTCACCTCTAGATATCAGTAGACATCAATATTAACCCTCTCACCTCTAGATAACAGTAAACATCAATATTAACCCTCTCACCTCTAGATACCAGTAGACAATATTAACCCTCTCACCTCCGCTGATCTGCAAGGAACAGACTGTCGTCTGCGAGCTGAACACAATGTAAACAAATGACGACAGGTGCGTTCTGTAACACGAGAGGACACGTGTCCTCCTGTCCACTACATAGGTCCTCAGGTCCTCACAGGAATCCACGGCACCGGTGTAGTAATTTTTAAAAGACAAGGACACTGTCCGGGTGGCCATTTCTATAGGGTAAGCATGTTAAACAGATAGACATGTAAGAGTTAGTGACTAAGCTATATAACAAATATTACTTAAAACTTTAAAGTCTACACATATAGAAGACAGACGAACACAAGCACAAACACAGACGCACACACACATTAAAGCATGCGTACGCATACTTACGCACGTACAAACGTACAGACATACGTTTTTCTTTATATACGAGAAAAATGGCCCGTTGAGGAAGGATACACCGGGCGCTAGGTTGATAGTGCTGTCTCTTTTCTCTAAACTAAAACCAACCCACCCCCCACCCCCCCACACACACCACCCCCACCCCCCACCCCCCCACCCACCCCCACCCCCACCCCCCAAAAAAACATGTCTACCGTCCCATTCAGCGAAATATAATTATATACTTTTTCCAGTGTCCGCCCCCTCCCCGAAAATTCTACCCCCGCCCCCGAAAATTTCAAGTACCCCACCCCTCTCCGGGGAGGAAAAAGTCTGAAAGAAACACTGGTGTCGCGCTTAGCCACTACGCGAAGAATTGCATTAAAGAAATTGCGAGAAAACCACTTTTTAGATTAGACACATTAATTAGGCGGTAATTTTATTATAGAGTATCGATGAGGAAACCACCCCACCCCCCCCCACCCCATCCCCCCCACCCCCCACCCCCCACTCCCAAAAAAAAACATGTCTACCGTCCCATTCAACGAAATATAATTATATACTTTTTCCAGTGTCCGCCCCCCTCCCCGAAAATTCTACCCCCGCCCCCGAAAATTTCAATTACCCCCACCCCTTTCCGGGGAGGAAAAAGTCTGAAAGAAACACTGGTGTCGCGCTTAGCCACTACGCGAAGAATTGCATTAAAGAAATTGCAAGAAAACCACTTTTGAGATTAGACACATTAATTAGGCGGTAATTTTATTATAGAGTATCGATGAAGAAATTTCTTTTGAGTTGGGGAGGGGGAGGGGCTCAGACGTTCTTACGCGGGGGGTGGGGCTTCGCCCCTACCCGAAGAATTGTATGCAAGAAACTCTTCACGCAAACCACTTAGATTAGACAACATTTCCTCTTTATTCAATGTTTACGCCAGAATCAATGACGTCATTATATTACTGTGAGATTATTTTCAACTCTATGCTAAATGTGTCGACGTCATACTTCGTTTTTCGAATTACTATGCATGTTTTTAAATTGCTTGTCTTTTCTCTAGAGCGTTCTTGTCAGACAGATAGATAGATAGATAGATAGATAGATAGATAGATAGATAGATAGATAGATAGATAGATAGATAGATAGATAGACAGACAGCGAAACTATCTTTATACGAGAAAAATGGCCCGTTGAGGAAGGGTACAACGGGCGCTAGGCTGATAGTGCTGTCTCTTTTCTCTAAACTAAAACCAACCCACCACCCCACACACCACCCCCACCCCCACACACCACCCCCACCCCCCCACCACCCCCACCCCCACCCCTCACCCCCACACACCACCCCCCTCCACACACCGCCCCCCAACCCCCCACCCCCCCCCAAAAAAAAACATGTCTACCGTCCCATTCAACGAAATATAATTATATACTTTTTCCAGTGTCCGCCCCCTCCCAGAAAATTCTATCCCCGCCCCCAAAAATTTCAAGTACCCCCCACCCCTCTCCGGGGAGGAAAAAGTCTGAAAGAAACACTGAAACCAACCCACCCCCCCACCCCCCCCACCCCCCACCCCACCCCACCCCCCCACACACCACCCCCACCCCCACCCCTCCACCACCCCCCACCCCCAAAAAAAACATGTCTACCGTCCCATTCAACGAAATATAATTATATACTTTTTCCAGTGTCCGCCCCCTCCCAGAAAATTCTACCCCCGCCCCCGAAAATTTCAAGTACCCCCACCCCTCTCCGGGGAGGAAAAAGTCTGAAAGAAACACTGAAACCAACCCACCCCCCCCCCCCCACACACCCCCCCCCCACCCACACACACCACCCCCCCACACACACCCCCCCCCCCCCAACCCCTCCACCCCCCCCCCCCCCCCCAAAAAAAATCATGTCTACCGTCCCATTGCAAGAAAACCACTTTTTAGATTAGACACATTAATTAGGCGGTAATTTTATTATAGAGTATCGATGAGGAAATTTCTTTTGAGTTGGGGAGGGGGAGGGGCTCAGACGTTCTTACGCGGGGGGTGGGGCTTCGCCCCTACCCGAAGAATTGTATGCAAGAAACTCTTCACGCAAACCACTTAGATTAGACAACATTTCCTCTTTATTCAATATTTACGCCAGAATCAATGACGTCATTATATTACTGTGAGATTATTTTCTACTCTGTGCGCTAAATGTGTCGACGTCATACTTCGTTTTTCGAATTACTATGCATGTTTTTAAATTGCTTGTCTTTTCTCTAGAGCGTTCTTGTCAGACAGAGCGTTCTTGACAGACAGCGAAACTATTATTATAGATTCAAGTACCCCCACCCCTCTCCGGGGAGGAAAAAGTCTGAAAGAAACACTGAAACCAACCCACCCCCCACCCCCCCACCCCCCACCCCACCCCCCCACACACCACCCCCACCCCCACCCCTCCACCACCCCCCACCCCCAAAAAAAACATGTCTACCGTCCCATTCAACGAAATATAATTATATACTTTTTCCAGTGTCCGCCCCCTCCCAGAAAATTCTACCCCCGCCCCCGAAAATTTCAAGTACCCCCACCCCTCTCCGGGGAGGAAAAAGTCTGAAAGAAACACTGAAACCAACCCACCCCCCCCCCCACACCCCCCCCCCCCACCCACACACACCACCCCCCCACACACACCCCCCCCCCCCAACCCCTCCACCCCCCCCCCCCCCCCCAAAAAAAAATCATGTCTACCGTCCCATTGCAAGAAAACCACTTTTTAGATTAGACACATTAATTAGGCGGTAATTTTATTATAGAGTATCGATGAGGAAATTTCTTTTGAGTTGGGGAGGGGGAGGGGCTCAGACGTTCTTACGCGGGGGGTGGGGCTTCGCCCCTACCCGAAGAATTGTATGCAAGAAACTCTTCACGCAAACCACTTAGATTAGACAACATTTCCTCTTTATTCAATATTTACGCCAGAATCAATGACGTCATTATATTACTGTGAGATTATTTTCTACTCTGTGCGCTAAATGTGTCGACGTCATACTTCGTTTTTCGAATTACTATGCATGTTTTTAAATTGCTTGTCTTTTCTCTAGAGCGTTCTTGTCAGACAGAGCGTTCTTGACAGACAGCGAAACTATTATTATAGACGAGAAAAATGGCCCGTTGAGGAAGGATACACCGGGCGCTAGGCTGATAGTGCTGTCTCTTTTCTATAAACTAAAACCACTCCCCCCCACCCCCACCCCCCACACACACCACCCCCCACCCACACACACACCACCACCACCTCCCCCCACACACCCCCCAAACCCCCCCCCCCCCCCCCCCAAAAAAAACATGTCTACCGTGCCATTCAACGAAATATAATTATATACTTTTTCCAGTGTCCGCCCCCTCCCCGAAAATTCTACCCCCGCCACCGAAAATTTCAAGTACCCCCCACCCCTCTCAGCGGAGGAAAAAGTCTAAATTAAAACCACCCCACCCCCCCACCCCCCCACACACACACACCCACCTTCCCCTCCCCCCCTCCCCCCCCACCCCCCTAAAAAAACATGTCTACCGTCCCATTCAACGAAATATAATTATATACTTTTTCCAGTGTCCGCCCCCTCCCCGAAAATTCTACCCCCGCCCCCGAAAATTTCAAGTACCCTCACCTCTCTCCGTGGAGGAAAAAGTCTGAAAGAAACACTGGTGTCGCGCATAGCCACTACGCGAAGAATTGCATTAAAGAAATTGCAAGGAAACCACTTTTTAGATTAGACACATTAATTAGGCGGTAATTTTATTATAGAGTATCGATGAGGAAATTTCTTTTGAGTTGGGGAGGGGGGGGGGGGCTCAGACGTTCTTACACGGGGGTGGGGCTTCGCCCCTACCCGAAGAATTGTATGAAAGAAACTCTTCACGCAAACCACTTAGATTAGACCAAATTGCCTTTGTATCGATAATCAATGACGTCATATTAATGTGTGCACTATCCGGCTTGAGATTATTTTCTACTCTGTGCGCTAAATGTGTCGACGTCATACTTCGTTTTTCGAATTACTATGCATGTTTTTATTTTCCTTGTGTTTTCTCTAGAGCGTTCTTGTCAGACAGATAGATAGATAGATAGACAGACAGCGAAACTATTAGTATTAATATGTAAATTAAAGTGTGTGAGTTTGTTTGTGGTTTTGTGGATTTGTTTCACCGAAGTGTGTTTTACCTCACTATTACGGAGCGTGATTTACTCTAGGCTTTCGCACAGCCGCCATGGGGCGTCTGGGTGGTAATCTGGACAAATCGCGGCTCAAGAACTATGATTTTAAGAAAAATAGTAGCTTCTTTGTTTAGATTTAAGTAACGCGGTGGCAGAAAGCAAGGTCACACGTCTAGGAATATAGGATTTGTATCGCATTGATGAAGCCCTCTTAAAATATTTCGTCTGACTTTCTGCTTATATATATATATATATATATATACATATATATATATATATATATATATATATATATATATATATATATATATATATATATATATATATATACAAATGTATGTATGTAATTAGTGTATCACATTCATAGCACATCACAGACACAATTGAAAGACTAAAAGACCGTATCTTACCGTCATTTAGCATAGTGACCCTCAGCCACGAAAAGATGGTGACCTGATACACTGCCGTGACGTTAAACGTGATTGCTGTGATGTTCTCCACACACGTGCTGTCGTCCCCGTCGGTCAGGTAAAATGTCAGCCTCCCCGGGGTGGTGGTCAGAGACTGGA